AAAATAATTAAAAGAATATAAAAAAAAATTAAGAATGTTAAAGCCCGGTGCTACGCACCGGGTTAGAGACTAGTATAACATATAACATATATATTATATTTATATTTTACTCTAAATAAATTTGCTTGTTTTTAATTTTCTTGTTATACGGATTTCGGTTTTTATTTTTTGTAGTTAGTGGTCCGTTTATTTATTTATTTAATCTTCTTACAAATTAAAAAAAAAAAGAAAACCAAATTTTCTTATACTTGTGGCATTTTTACAACTTTATTGAGAACAAAGGTCGTATTAATTAATTGTGTGCAATATTGGGTTTTTAAAACACACTAGGAATGCTAAATTTTCAGAAACAAATCCCCTGTCTTGTAATTACGATTTATTTTTTTAACCCATCCCTATGAAATATTCTAACGTTTTCTCTACCTCAGAAACAAGTTTAAGATTTAAAATTATACGCTGTTGATAAACTTTCTCTATCTATTTATTGTTATTGCAAAGAGCCTTTACTGTAACAATCGCTCCCACTTAATGTAACTGATCTTTTCAACACTGCTTCGCTTATTAGATTATCACTTAGTAAGTTGAATGAACTTTTACTATCCTCTTCCTTTATTTTTAAGAAAATCATTATTATTCGTTTCTGTTCAATAAGTTTGTTTCAACATTCTTTGTCACAGAATCTGTCTGGTACTTCTTTTTCTCTATTTCTTTTCGTCATCTTCAATTCATTTTTTAATGTCTTGTAGTTATCATTCTTTAAATACTTGATGATTACGCCAATAAGTTTAACTTATTCATCGCAAATGCATTTTATTTGATAATCATTCCATTTTTTTTATTAACAATATCTGTATCATTCACCAATATAACATAACCTTTACGATATTAACCATAATAGTAATAGTAAAGCTTTTACTTTAGGAATTCCTAAAGTTACCATTATTATCAAACGATCAACTTTATCCTGATCATGTACAGCCAATGATAAATTTCTAATCTTTTAGAATGAGAATCACTGTAAAAAGTTACTATTGTTTCAGTTGTTCAATATATAAAGTCGCTTATCTTGTTCGATCCTAGCGTTTTTTTATTTATTGAGACGTGAATAACTATCACCAGATCAAAATATGATTGATGAAAAGAAAAATAAGTTACGACTCCAAATAAATGCAATCCCGAAAAAAATTTCTTCGCAATATTGTAATTGCTTTTATTTGGTAATAGGTATCTTGTTGATATTTGTCTCTCTCTATACACGTCTGGGGCAATTTGCATTTACCTTGCTTAATGTTATATGTTGCGTCGCAAAAGAATAACCTTTTTGCAAACACTATATCAAAACTTGCTATAATTCGATGTAATTGAACTACTTGGGCTTGGCAATTCAAGCAATTACAAACTATATAAACTAGTATTTATAAGTACTGTATTTTGATTGAGTGAAAATTAAAGATCCTTTTACGTACATATGATAGAATTTTTGATTAATTACATAACAGATTAGTAGTTTATATGTAACATTTATAGTTTAATTACGTGTTAACATACAATTAGTTTAGATGGTCTTGGCTTAATCGATAACGAATTGAGTCCTGAATTGAGTCAGTGATGTTCCTTCCTGATTATTTAATATTTCTAGACTGTCACAACACTAAAAACGTATTGAAATTCTTGAAAATTCTATTTCGAGTCAAGGATTGCTCACTCAGAATAGGTAAATAGAGTTTAATCACTATTTTCTTATTTATTTTCGGAACGTTTTGGCAATCGTCTCCTACTATCCCTAACTTAGTTTGTTTCTATTCGAAACTCGAAACAGTTAAGCATTAGTTTTTATCGCAAGAATTTAATTATTATCCGGAATGTAAGCAGAGGATAACATGGAGACTAGATTATATTCACATCATTTTTGTATTAATTATTAAATCTTCTAATCTCTGAAAATCTACTTAGGAGCAATGTAAGTTCACGTAACTGGTTAGTTGACAGTAGGACAGACTGATTTTAATATTATAATCTGAATTTGCACTGTCTCTAAACGGATGGGCAAAATAATTTTATAAAAATTATGGCTTATTCTTTTTAATACAGTACTAAGCATTACTAAGCGCTGTCCGTAGATTTCATGCTCTATTCTTTTTGTTCTTAAATACCCACCGTTTCAAACGGTCACCTTCAGAATTTGATAATTAGAATTAGGCTGTATACCGGTTAAAAATCCTTTTGTAATTAGGATCAGTGTTAATTTTTCAATTAAAATTTACTTTGCGAATACCGCACAATTCGTGAATTTTTCTGTGCGGCAAATAATGATAATAATAAAAAAAGAAACTACGATAAAATGTTTGCAACTGGTGCACACTACTTACAAAATGTCAATTTTTTCTATGCGGCATCTATTCAAAAAAAATATGCACAAAAATTTGTTTCATGTGCTGCACACAGTCCGCACAGTAAAAAATAATCACTGATTAGGATAAATATTAAGTATTTTTTTCTTTTTATAGTAGATGAATACTAATAGAATTTTTTATAGTCAAATTATGGTAAATACTAATATAGATCTTTTTTCACCGAAGAAATTAGAGTAAATATATATATATACTTAACAAAAAACTTATGCAAAAAAATTGAATAATAATCCAAAAGATAAATACTACTACGTATGTTTTATATAAAAAATACAAAAATAAAATTTAATAAACAAAAATTTCACATCCGGTAAATGCCCGGGCCTGAAAATTGGTTGTTATACAGTATTTTGCGGAGTTTTGCCTCACATATGACATGCTACGTTATTGTATTTTTGTTTTTTTTAAAAAAAGTATAGTTTTTAGTCACTGTAATGATTAATATCTTCGCACACATCACCTTTACTACTAATGACATTCGTATTACTGTATTATCGGATTTTTGATTTTTGCCATTAAAAAAAAAGAAAAAGAAGCTGGTTTTATGATTTAGATCTTTTTCGATACTTTTTTTAAAGTCTTAGTGTTTTGCAGAGGAAAAATTTTTCTGAATGAAGCCTTTAATTATCATATACATAATTACATGCTGATTCAAACCCATCTGAGGAAGTCATTTACGTATCGGAGTATGAAAATCAGCAAACGTAATTGTACGACATAAAGATTCCTTATAAAAGCAGTTGACGGTAATCGGTTTACTTTTTTTAATATTTTGTTGTCGATACAATGCCACCACAAACACCTGATAAATCATCTTTAATCTATACCGCATTTTATTGCGAAGAAAATGTTTACTATTTATGTAAAACATTTTCTGAAATTTTAGATAAAAATAAAGAAAACTATGAAATTTATGTTTGCTTTATTTCCAATAAAACGCGGTCGGTTAGTTACAATTCTTGAATTTATAAATTTTACCAAGGTCTGTGATAACCTGGTAAATTTCTTGTAATATATTAAAATTCGTTCATTAGGTACCAATAAAGAGACAACTAGCTGCAAAAAGTCCTGATGGTTTTGTAATATGGGTATGTACTGTAAAATTTAATTTTAAAGAATGCAATAATATTTAATAGAAACTTCCTTGATTGATTTATGTAAATTCAAATAGGATTATCATGTAATTTTTTTGTTGAAGGAAAGTGATGAAAATTCGAGTAAAGAAAGGCAAGAGCTTAATTAAAAAAGATTTATTATGTGCGTTCGTTGCAATTCAACATTTACAAATAATTTAGATCATGGATATATGATTTTGATACCACCCTTACATTCCCATGCGATTTTGAGACATATGCGAATGAATCTTTGCCACTTGTTGATTTACCAGAATATCATAGGTAACGTAGTTTGGGTAGTTGTATTTTTGATGTTGACAATATTAATAAGTTAATATATTATGTAGAAAATATAGAGTTGTCCCTTCCGAGACATTTCTCAGGGTGTTTGCCTCTGATCGAAGTCATATGGTTTGTTAAATTTTACTCGCATTTGAAATTCAATATTATTTATTAATAATCTTGTATCCAATCAATTAAAGTCCAAAAATAATGATTCTACTATCTCTCCACCTAATTATCCTCCAATTTTTACAGCAGGTACTGTTATCATTAAATGTTATAATCTAATTGGATATTAATTATATTATGTTAAAAATTATGTCGTAAATTTCCTTAGAAACCACAATGAATCTTCCATCTTTTATTTCTATGACTGAAAATTTGGATTCAGCAGACTTTGGCAAAGTTTTAAATGAGAATGAGTTTTTTGAATTTTGTGGGTTAACTCGTTAATATTGTGATGTTAAAGATTAACACAAACCTGCATATTTGTTATAAGCATTTGCAAATAAATTCTTAAAAAAAAATAGATACCGAAGAATAGTTATTCAATAATTCATTAAAGCGATTTATTAAATAATTGCGTTGTAATAACTTTGGAATGCTTAGTGATTCTAAAATGTGCATTTTATTTGTAGTGCTGTATAGCGTGTTTGCTTACAGATTTTTTCGAGCTAAGCATTCTTTATCTACATACTTTCAATTATTTATATATATTATTTTATATAAAATGAACTCTAATCTTATTTCAGAATATTAGCTTCTAATTACGGCAAAATGGGACCTTTAATAAGTAAAATGGTTCTCATTTGTTAAGACGTGTTGGTTAATTAAATTATGGTCTTTCATTAATTGATATTTGAGCCATAAGTTACACATCAAAAGAATTTAATCAATACCGAACTTTCATTTACTATTTGAAGGCAGAATCCTTATCCTACCTACAGTGTAAATGAACCATGCGTTATTAGGACTCGGTTGAATTTTCTATATGAATATGGGTCATCCACAAAGCGTCAAAAGTATCATTAATAGAGAAATTCTCTGTATGTGCTTAAAATGAATATTAGACAAAAAGTTATTTTTATTTACGATACATTATACAATGATAGTATATTTTATTACTATATTAACGATAATGGAGATTGATTGTCTTGTTTATTTTTAAATATTTAATTTGCATTCGTCTAAGAAGGATATTGTCATATGCGCAAATTATGAAATATGGGCAGCCGTCAATAGAAATCAAGCAAATCTACATTTGAAAAAAACCAATGCCTTAACTTTCACAGTTCATAT